ATTCTGAGCAAATATCTTGGACCAGATCCTCAGGCTGGTACGAACAGGCATAGCTTCAATGAACCTAAGCTAATTTACATGGACTGAGGCTCTGGCTCCACATCAAAGAACCTTAAAGTGTTCGTCACCTACATCAACTGTATTATTATTATTTAAAAAAAAAAAAAAAGCATGAATTCACTTGATTTCATGTTCATGCTTCTAATCATTTCAGAACTTACTTTTTATAGGGACTTTTTTCTAAGCTAAATAATAGCTCTCAGCAGAGGAAAACCTTAATAACCTTCATATCCAATGTTTAATTCAAAAAAACCTGCATCCTTCCTGAGTTTTCTGTCATTAACTAAAGTACAGAGGCACCCCTTGTCTCCTGGGCCATTTCTGCAGCCCCCTATGGGGTAAACCCCCCAGACTTCTGCCATTTCAGCACAGTATTCAGTGAACTGCTCATCAGATGCTCCTGTACGCTTTTCTACCAGCTCTAATAACAGGGACGGCTCTTGAGAGAGGCTCTAAGACGCCTCAAACTTTCTGGAATTCCAAGGGGAAAAGGCTGTTAGATCTTAGCCACCTTTTCATGTTAAAATTTCTTTCCATATATTACCGAGGTTTGAGGCATGCAGACATCTGCACATAGATTGCTGTATGGCAAAATGAAAATAGTATTTGAGCTGATGACTTATAACCTAGAACTTTCCTTTCTTCTGGACGTTAGCTAGCATTACGAGATATAGGAAAATGATTGCTGTGCATTATTGCTAAGGTCCTTGTAAGATTTGTTTTTGTTTTGAAAGGTTTTTTTTTTTTTTTCTCTCAACCATGTCATTTTAACAACTTGGTAGGAATTCAGGCCGGCTTGGCCTTGTCAAATTGAGTTGAAAACAGCGAACCATGCATACCTCCTACCTCAGTTTACTTAAACATGCATACTCCACAATCATATAAGAACTATTTTGTTGGCATTTCACATCATCAAGCCCTTCAAGAATAAATTGAGAAGACCGTCAAATGCTTTTTTGAAATACACAAAACTGCATAAATTCACAAAAACAGGGGTCTCTGTAAGTCCGTGCCCCCTTTAATGCTGAAAATCTCATATGATCTTGTTTGAAATAAATTAGCATATAATTAGTGTTGTACAATATGAACACATTCAAGAATTTAATCTATTTTGCTAAGTTTACAAAGAGAAGAGACTCAAATAGGAGTCTTGAAGGCTTTTAGATCAGAAACACACCAAAATGAACTCACGCGTTCTTGAGAACCTCAAAAAGGTTTAGGCTCACGCAGCAACACAGCTGACATTTGCAACTGGTTATTAATATTTATTTTTATTGATTGACTTGTTTTTTTTGGCCACTTCATCATCAGCGACCAGAGTCTTATGAACTGCATACCACAGTTCAAAGATCTGGAGGAACAAAGGTCTAAAGCCGCATTTACAACACGCATCTATACATAAATGCATGCTGTTACTTTACTGACTGAAGTCTTCCACATGATAACAGAATGGACTTCTCTCTCCTCTCTTTTAGCAGCAGTAGGAACAGAGCATGAAACTACGTTTCTCAAGGTGGCCACACAGCTTCTCAAGGCTTACAAAAGCTATGTTTTAACATAATCTTAGACTGACCTAAACAAGCCCTTGCTCAACGTTTCTGAGAAAAGTGAACCAGAAAACGAGGACTGCAACTCAAAGATGGAATAACATACATTATCCGCTCGACGAGACCTCAAAGAAAAGCGTCCACAGTAGCCAAATCTTCCACAGCTATTTTTCCCTGATTTTCAGCACCTCCACAGCAAGAGAAAGTACCGTAGCACCGCTTCTGTTGCTTACATCTTTAGCGGGCATGCACCACAAAGTAAATTCCGATCACTTTTACTGAAGGCATTCAAAACTTCTTCGCGTTTGAGGAAATGACAAAAAAAAAAAAAACAGGCGCTAATGGTAACCCTAAGGCAAGCCAAACAATCCAGAAAAATCCAGAAGCCAACAGAGGCAAGCTTCTGTAGGCCATAAACCACTCTGCCCGCCCGCCCGCCCTCCCTCCCTCGACCTGCAGGTAGATTCTTCCAAAGAGTTAAAAAGATTTCTGCTCTCCTTACAGCACCTAAAAAAAGGCACAGTTACAGGATATACAAAAGGGTTTTGTATTAGCTTTCAGCTCTATTAATGGTGGCTCAGTTCCACCAGCACTGAAAGAAATTAGCAAACAAAAAGCAATGGCATGTACAATTCTAGAGACCTCACAAAGGTTTAAGAAAGAATAGCAGTAGTTCATTGCCTCTTTCATAACCTGCAGCACAGGACCTAGGCTCCTCAGTCAGATTTTGCTGCTGGACCTGGACCTCAGTGGCAGAAATCAGCAGCAAAACTCTGGTCTTTCAAATTATCCTCTTGGGTACTAGATGTTAAGTTTCAGGTCCCAACTACTAGAAACAGAAGAGCTGAAGTTTTTCTAAAAGACACTAAAGTCAGTATGCTAAATTACACCAACTCTTGAGACCCCGATTGAGCACTCAAGAAATTACTTTTTAAAATCCTGTTTACCATTTTTATTTAGCGCTCAGATCATACAGTATAAAGAATAATATATATTAATCTACAAGTAAGAAATTAAAACAATCCCAAGATTTATTTTTCCAGTGCATCTACTTACCAGCTGCAAGCAGCTACCAAAGTAACTAGTAACCCTAAATGGCTCCTTTACTTAAAGCAGTGCAAGAATCACTCCACTAACAGTCAATAGTCATAACACCAAAAGGGGGGAAAACTTTTCATAGCACAAGGCATTTCTGCACTAAAATTTATTACAAGAATATTGAGAAAATCATTTTATGTCTAGCCAAAAGCCTTAAATTTGAATGAAATGAAACTCAGTAAGCAAAGCCCTCAACAAGACTCTCTTACCCACTCTGTACACTGAAATGAACTCACTGCTTGCCATACGTGGGGGGAAAAAAGCCAGGAGCACATGAAAATGATGCAACTACCAAAGCAGAATGGATAATACCCCCCAAAACGCCAATACCTAATCAGATTGCAAAAAATACAGAGTGCTTAAGATTCCATAAGAAATCAAGTTAGATCTACGTAACTTGGGACTACATAAAAGAATGGTTTCAACAAAGCAGTACACCAGTCCACACTTTCAGTTGCTGTTATATAATTAATAAGTGAAATTAAGTCATAAGAGACAGATTTGGTCAAATTCCATAGTTTCTGTATCCCACACCACATAATTAGCAAGCAAAAAAACTTCACTTTACCTCTCTAACTATCAATAGCTGAATATTACCCAAATATACACGCAGATAGGGGAAAAGGAATTAAATGATCTTAACACATGCTGAAAGTTAAGGTGCGCCACATCTACAGTCAGCCAAAATTTTATCATCAAAAAACAGGACTGGAACTTTCTAAAGGTACTCTCTCTAAAAATATTCTTAACATGGACACAGTCAAACCTAAACCCTTCTAAACCAAGTCAGGCTCTTGAGCAATGCTTGAGATTTGCAGTAAGTTCTCTGATGAGCTCTTTCTTATTCTTCCTTTTTTGCTTAGCCATCTTTGCTCTACTGCACATTCACAGCCTCAGGATGAGTGTACCACAGATACAATATGGTATTTTCAATTAAAATACACTCTACAACAGAAGTAGTCAGAATATTCCTTACTACTTTATAAGAAACATTCCCAACCTTTAACTCACCCTTCAGGATGCAGAAAACACCAAATTCTCTTTCTTGAGCTCTGCCTTTAGGAAGGAAGGGATAAGCTATGCATACTGATTCTTACGTTCTAAAGAAAGCAGATTACATCCAGGATAAGGAAATTGCAAAAAAGTACCCAAGTGGGACAGAACGGTAAGTAAAAAAAAAAAAAAATGCTCAAGGACAAAAAAAAAAAAAAAACAGGAACAGAGAAAAAGCTAAGTCTCAAAACCCCTTTCTAGACCTGCCACTAAAATAGGCCAGCAGAGAAAAGGATAGAACATTCATTTCTGTTGCAACATTTTCTCCAAGGCTTCTCAGAAGTTATTACCTTTCAGTTGAAAAAACAAAGGCTACTGAATTGGTACCACCCCAGGTGCCCCACAGTATATATTTCATTAGACTAAAAGCTGCTTCTTCTCCACCCTCTACCCCACTGTAATAACTTGAAATAATCATTACAACGATACAGTCCTAGAGGTAAAGCACTCTGTATTCACAAGCCCAACACTCTGAATTCACAGTTCTAGCTCAGCACAAAGCTAAACATCCATTTTAGAAGTCAGTTACTCAGTCTCACATCCAACACAATTTATATACTTTACTAATTTAACCTACTCAGATGACCCTTTGATACAAGAGCAGAGATAACCAATCTCAAAAAATGGTATCAATATCAACATAAACAAACACTGTCTGCTGCAGATGGCGATTACACCAATTAATCCCTCCACAAAGCACATTGGTGGAACATCCAGTCTAAAAATCTGATCACCTAAATACTCCAACTCCGTAACTTTGCAATGCAACAAAAGCTTTTAAGGCTTTTATTTCCCCCTCTTTCTAATTTGAGCTAACAATCCTTGGTGAATTATTCATACTTCTCAACTTACATTGTTCAGCAGCCCTCTTTCTGCCCCCCCACTCCCTTTTTTTTTTAAAGCTTAAGCTTCCAAGGCTCTAAAAAAACCTTCCCTTTCTGAACAAAACCAGAACATAAAATAAAAATCAAAGTCCCCCACTCCCTCTTAAAAAATAAAAATAAAAAATAAAAAGTGCCTAACAACTTATTTTTAGGAACAAGTACAGAAACCCATAGTCGTTGTCAGCAAATGACCATTAAAACACGTTCAGACTTTCCACAGCATTTGAACCAAATTGATAAATCTTCCTTTTGCCACTCTGGCCTTAACCAACACCCCCCCCCTTTTTTTTTTAAGGCCCTCTTATAATTACTTATGCAAGCACATTTAATTCACCATCCTACAGAAAACAAGACAAACCAGAACACCGAAGAACTAATCGGGATGCGTTTATTGCGGGGGCCACCGAGGGTCCTTAGCACATCCAAGGACTCGGGCGTGCCCCCTTCACCTCCAGGCCGGCCCGAAGGCCCGGACCCGCAGCAGAGCCGCCGGCCGGACCGCGCCGGGCCCGGCCGGGCCCGGCCGGCGGGAATTCGT